CCCTCCTCTTTGTGGTAGCCTCTCAAATACTGGAGTATTGCTATCATGTCTCTCCTAGTCCTTCTTTTCTCTAGGCTAGTCAAACCCAAATCCTGCAAATGTTCTTCATATGTTTTAGTCTCCAGGCCTTTAATCATCTTGGATGTTCTTCTTTGCACTTATTCCAAAGTCTCAATATCTTTTTTGCAAAGTAGTGACCAAAACTGGATACAGTATTCCAGGTGTGGCCTATGCCTAAGTTTATGCAACCCAGGATTGTATTAGCTTTTTTGACGGAAGCTGCACACTGCTGACACTGCTGATTAAATGATCGTCCACTAGGCCTCCAAGGTCTCTCTTACAGTTAATGATTCTGAGCCAGGTTTCACCTAATCTGTACATGTACCTTTGGTTTTTCTGGCTCAGGTGTAAAACCTTGCTTTTCTCCACATTAAATTTCATTTTGTTGGATAGTCTGTCAAGATCTTTTTGGATCCTGAGCTTGTCTTTTGGAGTGTTGGCTATTCCTGTCAGTTTAGTGTCATCTAAGTGTCATCATGCAAATTTAATGAGTTCCCCTTCTACTACCTCATCTAAATCAATTATGAAGATATTGAAGAGTAGTAAGCCTAAGACGGAACCTTGTGGTACCCCATTGCTTACTTCCCTCCATGTAGATGTAATACCGTTAAGGACTACTCGTTGAGTATGGTTTGTTAGCCAGTTACAAATCCATCTGATGGTGATGCTGTTTATCCCACATTTTTCTAGCTTACCAAGAAGTAGTAAGGTTGTGGTCTACTTTGTCAAATGTTTTGCTGAAGTCTAAATATACTATGTCCACAGCGTTTCGCTGGTCTACTAATTTAATTACTTTGTCAAAGAATGAAATAAGATTGGTTTGGCATGATCTGTTTTTAACAAACCTGTGCTGACTGCTAGTTATAACTTTATTTGTTTCTAGATGTTCACAGATCTGTTTTTTGATTATTTTTCCCAGTATCTTCCCGGATATTGATGTTAGACTGATTGGTCTACAGTTTCCTGGGTCTGTTTTTTTCTTTTTTTGAAGATGGGAACCACATCAGCTTTTTTCCAATCCTCTGGAAGTTCCTTGGTGCTCCAAGATTTTTTAAAGATATGATACAATTAGTACAGTAGAAGATAACAATATTACAACCACAACTTTTTGCTTTTGGACAACAGTATGTACAAGCCATTTCTGTAACAATAAGCCTATCTAGTTTCTATCTAGAAATCAAAGTTTCATTTTTTTTTCATTACAAGCACAACATCCGAAAGCAGTTTCAGAATAGAAACAAAGATAGATATATTCTCATCTCTGGATAAAAGAATCAACTTGGCCATCTCTGCTTCTCTTTGCTGTGGGGAGTAATATATGCTTTTGTTAACTCATTAATCTTTGTCATAATTTATATTAAGAAAATCCTCTTTTTTTTCTTTTTTCTTTTAACCCTAAAGGAGAAAACACTTTTTTTAGTTTTGATATTTTACTAACTTTAAAAAGTACTCAAGTACTTTTATAAAGAAGAAAAAAGAAACTTTTCATTCATGAAAATTGGCAAATTTCAACCACCCATAACAAAACAGTACAGGGCTATAGATTATTTTAAAATAGTACATTAAAACCACAACTTTTATCCTTATATTTCAAGCAGAAAAAATACTCACATTTCCTTCTTTTGGCTGCCTCTAACAACCTTGTTCCTTTGTCATTTACAATAAAGAGGACTCAAAAATGGTATTCAGATCTTCAAAAAGGAGTTATAGGCTGAAACTAAAGAGAGCCTTTTTTAACTAATAGAGATAATAGTCTCATGAATTGATTAAGAAATCATTAAGGGCACAGTTTATTGTCCATTTGAAAAATAAATTCCAAAATGGCTGTTTTATCAATGTGATTTCATCCCCCCCCCCCCAGCTAGTGGGCTAGGGTAGATAGTAGGGGCTTTGCTCTTGGTTGTTATTTTCTTCTAAAAGTGACATTTCCATCGGTCTTGCTCTTTAGGTACATATGTAGGCTCATTTTTTGTGTTTAATTTGGATGTATTGGTTTCCATGTTCATATACGGCATCATCATTATTTTTAGAAGCTGTTTGCTCCCTACTGCATTTTATTTTGGTGTAGTATTCCTGTTTAGGTTGGGATTTCTCACTTTGTTCATTGGGTTTGAGAGTCACTAGAGTTGCCTCTAGAGTAGACCCTTTACTTTTTCTTCTAGTAATTATGGAGATTCACTATGAAAGTCTGATCTTAACAATACAATGTGCTTTGGAAGTGTATCATGGCTTCTGGGTATTTCTGAAAAATAATTGTTGATGTCACAATACTATTTCCAAAAAATTGGGATTTGGTTACACCACTGTCAAGCAGATCATGTATAAATGGAGGCAATTCAACACCATTGATACCTTTATTAGGAATGATTGGCCAACCGTAGTGAGAGCAAGGTGCGTAATACTCCAAGAGGTCTCAAACAATCTCAGGCTAAGAGATTGTCTAAGGAACTAAAGGGTTCTCTTGTATTGGTGAAAGTCAGAGTTCATGAGACCACCATCAGAAGAATACTGGTATGCTTGAGACAGAATTGCAAGGAGAAAGCTCCTACTCTCTAAAAAGAACATTGTTCTCATTTACATTTTACAAAATATCACGTGGATGAGTCAGAATGCTATTGGGAAATGTTCTGGATGTCAATAGATGAGACTGAAATATAACTTTTTGGGTTCAATGAAAAGTATTGCTTGGTGAAAGACAAATACTGCATTCCAACATAAGTACCTTATCCCATCTGGAAAATATAATGGTGGAGTATCATGGCTTTGCTGTCTCAAAAATGCAAAATGGCTTTCCATCATTGATGGAACCATGAATTCTGAACTGGAGCAGTAAAATCTACAGGAAAATGTTACAGTATATGTAATACCTGGATAATACAGCAAGAATGATCCAAAATGCATAAGTCATATAACCAAAGAATTTTAAAGGAAAAGAAGTTACTATTTGAAATGGCCCAAGTCCTGACTTTAATCCTAGGAATGTTGTGGATGGACTTGAAGTAGACAGTTATTTATATCTGATTTTTGGCCATGTAGTTGTGATAAAGACTTGATTTCAATTAATCAATTATTTTTGCTTTCTTTCTATTAGAACAGAAATAAATAAACAGAAGAATAATTGAAAACTAGAATGTATATTCCAGACTGAAATTTATACACATTGCCATTTTTAAAGTTTCTACTCATTTTTAAAATCTTATGTTAAAAAATCTATATTAGTTGAACAGTTGACTCCTTTTGTCATAACATACTGTAGATACTAAAAAATATTCAATGGTGAAAAAAGTAAGGTTCCACATTTAGGCACGAAAAACAAAATGCAAAGGTACAGTATATGTGGTACCTTGCTCAATAGTAGTGACTGAGAGGGATCTTGGAGTCCTAATGGACAATCACTTAAATATGAGCCAGCAGTGTGCTGCAGTTGCCAAAAAAGCCAACACAGTTCTAGGCTGCATAAATAGAAGGATAGAATCAAGATCATGTGAAGTGTTAATACCCCTTTATAATGCCTTGGTAGGGCCACACTTGAAATACGGTATCCAATTTTGGTTGCCACGGTGTAAAACAGATGTTGAGATTCTAGAAAGAGTGCAGAGAAGAGCAACAAAGAAGATTAGGGGACTCGAGGATAAAACATATAAAGAACAGTTGCTGGAACTGGATATGTCTAGTCTTATGAAAAGAAGTACTATGGGTGACATGATAGCAGTGTTCCAATTTCTCAGGGGTTGCCACAAAGAACAGGGAGTCAAACTATTCTCCAAAGCACCTGAGGGTAGAACAAGAAGCAATGGGTGGAAACTAATCAAGGAGAGAAGCAACTTAGAACTAAGGAGAAATTTCCTGACAGTTAGAACAATTAATCAGTGGAACAACTTGCCTCCAGAAGTTGTAAATGCTCCAACACTGGAAGTTTTTAAGAAGAAATTAGATAACAATTTGTCTGAAGTGGTGTAGGGGGGTTGGACTAGAAGCAGCCTAAGCAGGGCTTTGGACTAGAAGACTTCTAAAGACCCTTCCAACTCTGTTATTCTATTCTATTCTATTTTCTTACTGGTGCAGTTACAGCCCTATAATTTCTCATTAAGGTTTCATGGTTTCACCTACTTTCACTCCAGTACAGGTAGCCCTGGACTGATGATCACAATTGGGACCAGTATTCTATTGCTAAACAAAGCTGTTTTTAAGTGAATCATGCCCAATTTTACAAATTTATTTTGTCATGGTTAAGCAAATTAGTGTAGTTTTTAAGTGAATAGTGATTATTAAGTGAATCCTGCTTCCCCCATTGACTTGGTTATTGAAAACCATCGGATAAGCTCACAAATGGCAATTGTGTGACCTCAGGAGGTTGCAACTGTTGTTGCAACCTCCTGAGTAAATAGCCTTCTGTTGCAACCTGTTGTTGCAATCTCCTGTTGTAAATAGCCGCCCTGAGTCTTCAGAGAGGGGCAGCATATAAATTGAATTAATAAATAATAAATAATAAATAAATACATGCCAATTGCCAAGCACCCAAATTTTGATTATATCACTGTGGGGATGCTGCAATTGTTGTAAGAGTGAGAACCGGTTGTAAGTCACTTTTTTCAGTTGTAACTGTTGTAATTTCCAACAGTTGGTAAACAAATGGTTGTAAGTCAAAGACTACCTGTAGATATCTTTAAAAAAAAAAAAACGTTTCCCTGCTCTTATTTTAATTGAATAAATAACTCTAAACCTAATCCTATCATTTGTCCTAGATGTTCTTAAATTGTTAATATTTCATTAAATGGCATTACTGTTTTAGAATTTAATTTTAGCTCTTTATGAAAGTATAAAATGGCTCTGGAGTATACGTATTTACACCTGGACACTGAAAATTACAGTCATTCTTAATGAACTGTCTTTGGCTTTTTATGTTCCTGTGTTTACTTTTTCATTTCATTCATTTTTAGCACCTGGAGTCACTGCAATTATTGGTGGACGTCCAAAAATGTAAGTGTTTTTAGAGGAGAATTATATTAATTACTGCTCTTTTCTGATGTTCTAATGTTTTGCATCCTAAACTCCAGATTGTTGGCTGGGGAAGTTGAAGATGAATTCAGGACACCCATGATTTGTAATTCTTCTTGAGGAAGGATACTGCAGTAGCTGAGTTTTCAATATACAAAGTTTCATGAAAAGAAATGATTCCAATGTTATAAGTTACCAAAAGAAGGCAGTTCTGATATGATAGAAATTCTGGCATGTTCTTCAGCATCTGTTCTTTCACTTTACTTGGTGGGAAATTGCTGTGAGAAAAGGTTGTTTTTGGTGAACCAAAAAGAGCTGATTTGTGTGAGTAAGAGCAAATTGGACAACTTGTATAGCAACATAAGAGTTTCAATTGAGAGATCTCTGAAAGATTTTTCCCTGAGGTGTAGCTCTTCTGCCTTTAAAGTGAAGGGACTGAGAATAATAAAGATTGAAAGCTGTGATTTTAGTTTACTATTGTAGTAACCTGTAGCTTGATCTTCTTTGCTGTGGGTGGCTAAAATCTTCTGACCCTGATTAAAAGAGGAAGCCAAGATGGAACAATTTATTAGAGATATAATTGAAAAGTCTCTAAATAAAATACCAATTAGTTGAGCAGTTGTGCTCTGATGATAAAAAATTCTCTCAAATTACTTCTGAGATGCAAACATGTGGAGAATGTTACTAAACTTCACAACTTCACAAGTAGCTGAAAATGCAGAGGAGTTTACTTCAGTTTTGGAAGAATCTGATATTTACTTTCACTATTATGGTTCAAATATAAGCCTGTCAACACAACTGAAAGAAGAAGAGTGTTGAGAAAAAAAACAAACTTGGGACTTTTTTAAAAAGACATTAACAAGGTTGAGGATCTCATGATAAAAAGAAAGGCCTATAAGTCTTTGATGAAACTTCCAGAGAAGAAAAAGATTTTACTTCATGAAGATAAGCTGGAAGGAGTGAGTTAAACTTAATGAGCTAACTGAATTTTCTTGTGCTTGATATGTGTAACTGAAAGGTTTAACCCAAAATTTGATAATGTAATTTTTTTTTACAAAATTTTTTACATATAATGCTTAAGTAATTTTTAAAGTAGGCAAAAGATATTGTAAATGTGTTTGAGAGTACCTGAATTGAGAGAAAATTAAAGAAAATGATGCATCAGTATAAAAAACTGTGTTAAAACGGATGTTTATAAAAGAAGAAAGTGCCTCCCCCCCCTTTTTTTCCCAATAAGGTCAAATAATTTGAAATAATACAATGAATTTTGTAAATAAAAATGGTGACAGTTCACAAAGATTACTAGGTGCAAATAGAAATATACATTATTTCCACAGCAAGGAAGATAAAGCAGGTGTCAGATCCCTAAAAGTGATACTGCCATTCAATCGGAGGAGGGGGGACACTTGGATTCAATTTACTAGCATTGCCTGTGTCAACAAATATTTTACAACCTATATCCTGGTGCCAAAGAGCCCTGAGATCCCCTTTACCTGCAGGAATTTTTATGATAGCCATGTGGGTTGTTTCACTTTAAAGGATAGTGGTGGGAATACATGTTTGTTCGGGTTCTCAGAGAAACTAGTAAAGAAAACATCTTCACACTTGTGTATTGGCTAAAATCTGCATTCTGACTTAAAGGGAGGGGTCTCTACCACTTTAATCCTACTGCCTTGCCTAAAGGTATTCAGATCTTGCTTTAACTGGATGGGTGTCACTTCTGCTTAATAAAAGAAATCCTTTTGAACAACCATGTTTTAAGAATTCTTACTTTCTTAAGTTAGAAGGAGAGGCAATCCTCACAGAAAGTAAGATCTGCAAAACGGTCAATCCAGAGAAGCAATCTTTGCTCTACTGAGGGGACCTTGCAAACTATGTCGGAACGAAGCTGAGAACTGGGAGAAACCGATTGCTGGGGGGAGACAGCAACCGGCACCCAGTCGGATGCCTCTTTCGTACACCCCATCGGAGAGGATGAGGTAACCCTGGAGAATCCTGAAAAGCCCCGCTGGTCAATTGGCATCAGGAAGAAAGATAGCTGGGATGAGAGACCCAGAGGAGTCACCCTCAGCCATGGCAACCGAAAACTGGGGTGGAAACTGGAACTAGAAGCTCTTGCCGACCAGGGGGGAATGACCAAAGCACCACTGGGGGAGGATTATCTGAAGAGGCATATAACCCAATTTTGATGGAAACTTTGGAAAACCTCAACATCCGAAGGGAGCCAGGACAATAACCAAAGGGCGCGGAAAGGGCAGGAGTCGCGGATGATGCCACGGGAGGCACCCCCCTCCTGGAGCCTGCCTATCGAGCAGATGGTACAGCAGCTGCGGGAGAAGACCCAGCAAACCCTCCCCCTCAGGCTGCATGCACACCGGCGCCCATTCCCAACCAGCCTCGAGTCCCACAACTGGAAAGAGAAACTCCACCCCTTGGAGTGAAGTTTGATGGGAATCCGCAGCAATTAGGATTCTTTGTGGCACACGTGCTCACCTACATGCAAGAGTACGGGCGTGATTTCCAAACCCAAGGCTCCCGAGTGCGAGTCATAACCCTAGCCCTAGAGGGTGCTGCTGCCAGATGGATTGTGACCCTGCATAACCAATGCACCAGAACTGCGGGATTTTGACCGTTTCATGATGGCCCTGCGACGTCAGTTTGAGGACTCACTAGCGGATCGCAAAGCACGCGATCGCATTAAGGTGATGAAGCAAGGCCGACGGCCAGTAGCAGAGTATACTGAAGAATTCTGGGACCTCGTGTGTCGTGTGCACTGGCCGGAAGATATTTTGGTGAGCTGTTTCAAGGACGGGCTGAGTGATGATCTATACAATGCCTGCATTACCGAATCACCTACATGAATGGTATGTCACTGCCAAAGAAGCTGAGATCGATACGGACAGAAACCAGTATCGAGCGGGGCGAGTATGGAAGTAATCCCCACTCCAATGGAAGCAAGAGCCCCTCAAACCACAAACCGCATTCTCTCCGAGATCTTCAGCCTGTTTCAAATGTGGAAAAGAGGGGCACCGAGCTGCAGAGTGTCGTTCGCAAACACCTGCCCGGAACCACCCACTAGGGGAGAACCCTGCAAAACCGGGTCGGCATGGGAAGAAGACTGCCCTGAGGAGCAGGGAAAACATAGAAATTCCATCCTCTACCCTCTTTAGGGAGGAAACCCTGGCATCTGAACAGGAGGAATAACACTCATTCGGAAGCGATCCAGATGATGAACCACTGGTAAGCAAACCAATTTAACCGCTTACCCTCCCCTTAAGACTATTTATCCCAAACCAGGACAGGGAGATAAATATTGCACCACTGACTGTGCAATAGAAATCTTACCCGGCACGAAATTCCCTAAACCCAAGATGTACAGCATGTCACCGAGGGAGTTGGAAGAGCTGAGAACATTTATTGAGAAAAACCTAGCAAGGGGTTTCATCAAGCCAGCCCAACCAAAAATTGCAGCTCCAGTGCTCTTTAGAGAGAAAAAAGATGGCTCAAAACGTCTCTGTGTTGATTTTCGTAATCTGAATACGATCAGTGTTGAGAACATGTATCCCCTCCCCCTTATGAAAGATATGCTTACACACCTCGTTAAAGGGAAATTTTTTTCAAAGCTAGACTTAGGGAAGGCTTACTACTGTGTCAGAATTAAGGAGGCGGATGAGTGGAAAACGGCATTTAACACACCCCTTGGCTGCTATCAATTCAAGGTGCTCCCCTTTGGGTTGCAAGGAGTTACTGCAGTGTTTATGCAGTTAATAAATGAAGTGCTGCATCAGCATTTATATAAGGGGGTCCTGGTCTATTTGGACAACATTTTAATCTATACCAAGACCAAAGCAGAACATGTAAAACTAGTCAGGGCAGTTTTAAACAAACTTCGCTCTGCCAAACTTTATGCTAAACTTTCCAAATATGAATTCCACCAAGAGAAAATTGACTATTTGGGATACCGCATTTCACACCAGGGGGTTGAGATGGATCTTCTAAAAGTGCAGGCTGTACTTGATTGGGACCCTTTATGCACGCGTAAACAGTTACAGAGCTTCCTGGGTTTTGCCAACTTTTACCGCCAGTTTATCCCTGCTTTTGCCCAGATTGCCCTCCCCATCACCAAGCTCTTAAAAACGAAGAGGGAGGACAATCCAAAACCAAAGCAGCCATTGAACTGGACAATGGAATGCCAGGCGGCATTTGAAAAACTTAAACGGCTGTTCTCAGCAGAACCAATTCTAAAACACCCAGACACGGAGAAACCATTTGTCATACAAGCAGATGCCAGCGATGAGGCAATAGGAGCGGTCCTGCTTCAGAAGAATGAGCAAGACCATCACACATCAAAAAAGTTGAATGAGACTAAGCAAAGATGGGCCATTTGGGAGGGAGAGGCTTATGCAGTTCGTTGGGCATTGTTAACCTGGAAGCACTTCCTAGAAGGTAGTAAGACTCCTTTTGAAGTCTGGACTGATCATAAAAATCTAGAAGCCCTAAAAACCCCAAGGAAACTCTCCCCAAAACAAGTACGATGGGCTCAGTACTTTAAACGGTTTGATTTTACTCTAAAATATCTCCCGGGGGGGGGACTTTCTGGTGGATGTGCTATCCAGAAAACCGCAATACAATAGTGCAAAGCCAGACGTAATCAAACCCATAGTACAAAACAATCAACTAGCTGCTAAAGTAGTCACCAGATCCCAGGCAAAACAAGAAACATTGACGGGCAATGACACCACCCAAAATTTTTAACAAGCATTGGCCACTGATGAATGGTTTTTGAACAACAAATCCAGCTGTCTGATGAAAGAAGACTTGGCTTGGGTGGGGGGGAAGTTGTATGTTCCTGCCAGCCAAAGACTATGCTTAATGGTAAGGTGCCACAACTCCAAATTAGCTGGACATTTTGGGTTTGTGAAAACTTTACACCTGATTAAAAGACAATTTTGGTGGCCATCACTAAAAAAGGACATAGAAAG